GGGCGGCGGGGGGCGGCGGGGGCGTTCCATTACACGAGCGATTTGAGCCGAATGCACCGCGCTTAGCACAGGGACGGGTCTCCGACTAATGAGCAGGCGCGCCCTCGGGCGAAGGACGACGTGGAATGGAAGGTCACTTTCGGCGAAAACTTCGTAGCCTGAGTCGAAACCGACCTCAACATCAATTTCTCAACTGGTATCTGCGGGCTGATCGCCAAATAACTTGGCGGCCGTTGGAGAAAAAGTGCATTTCGTGTAGAGCGCACTCAGGTTTGCGGTATTCTTTGAAAAAGTGCATTATTTTTATTAATGGGGACATTAGGGACCGTTGAACTGCTGAGATTTTTCAGATCCATGAGTGATGATGTAATGAGAGCGGGAACGATGATGTTGATGAGGTGATTAATGTTGGAGATATGGTGGAATGAGAGGGAAGGGCAGGGGTGAACCACAAGGAAACACGACAGTTCTTTGCCCACTACAAATTATACATCGGTCAGAATATGACCACAAAATACTCAATGGCAATTTATAAATCGAGGTCAAGAGGGGCAGTATCCAGTAACATGCGAGAAAAATACCGATTTTTTGGCATTTAATGATCTAGTAGCCGGTCCAGATCGTCAAGGCAATAGTGCTGTAGCTATCTCGGGCCGAACGATCGCGGGTTCGTGTCCCGTTTCGGGCGTGGTTGTAGTTGTGTTCGTCCTTTCTCCCCCTGCCATCACCATATCATGTCATCTTCACAGTTACTATGCCGTTACAGGCAATAGTGGTCGCTAATGACCTACATGTTGATGCGACCTTAAATAAAAACAACAAAATATGAAATAGTAGAGAGGTTGTACAAGAACGAAATAAAGAGTTTACTACCCGGAAGTCTTATTGGTCCTGTGAATACTTGAATTGCTAACTGCATAAAAGCAATTAGTCCAATTTCTCATTTTATTTGATTTGCGAAGAGAGCTGTTAGTAGGTCTATGCATTGTGCACTGCGGAAAGGAAACCTACCCACTTGAAAGCTTAGGTCTGTGCCTTCATACGCCAAAACAGATTGTAGGGAGAAAAGTTTCTTAAAACGGTTTTATACATTTTTTTGTTATTGTTCTTTCTGTAAAATTAGAAAATTCAGACTAATCGCCTTTTTGCAGTTCACGATTCATTTTCGAACTCTGCTCATTAATTGAACCTGTCGCTGGGACTATGTCCCGTTGCCTCGCTCCTCCCAGCGTATGCGAACGTAGGATGTTGTGTTCATTGCCTGGGGTGGGCGGGGGCTTTGCGTTGGCTTTGTTGGGCACCGCCCCCGCCGCCGCTGCGACCGCAGGAGCTGGCGCCCACGCCCTCTGGACGAACCTAACATTAGAGCCCGCCTGGGCTGAGGATTGGGGCCAAAACCTCTGCCCTCTCACATATAATTCTTCTTCTCTCGTGCTTATTCTCCTTTTTTCCTCCTTATCCTCCTTTTGCCTTCTTCCTTATTTCCTTCCTCCTCCTCATCCGCATTTTTGTCCTCATCTTCCTATTGTCCTCTTTCTCTTATTGTCCTCCTCCTTTTGTTGTCCTTCTCTTCCTTTTACCCCCTCCTTCTTTCTCTTTTCCTCCTCCTCCTTTTGACCTTCTTTTATTCCTATTGTCATATTTCTCTTATTGTCCTCCTCCTTTTGTCTTCCTTCTCCGTTTGTCCCCCTCTTCCTTCATTTCCTCCTCTGCGTCATCTTACTATTGTCCTTCCCTTTCTCCTCTTCTTAATGTCCTCCTCATTCTTTTGTCCTCTTTCACCTCCACCTTGTTCACTTTCATCTCCTTCTTAGCTTTCATTTTCTTGTATATCCACCTCCTTCCCCTCATTCACCTTTAGCACATTCTTTTTTTATCTTATGCGTTATCGTCATTACCTTCTTCTCTTATTTCTTCGCCTTGCTTGATTTTTTCGTGCCTTGCCTATTCTTGTCGTTTCCCCAGCCAATAATATTTAATCATTGAGGAATGACTGCTATACTTCGTCTGCGATTTAATTGAGTACTCAAAACAATTATGCAATGAGATAACTGAAATACCTACAATGCAAAATCACATACCCGAGGCACAACACGCAAGGAGGGGTATGCTTCGACTGAAATGAGATTCTCGCTCTTTTAGGATGTTATATTCATAGCGGGCACAAAAAATGTATCGTGTCAATATAAAATTGATAATAATGTTTTGTTATGAAATTGAAAATTAATATTATCAGTCACTTTATATTAATATCATAGGCAATGTAACAGTATTGCTATCACTAATTGATTAATTACCAGTTAATAGTTTAATTAATTTATTTCTAAACAGAATTTGAATCTGATCATCTCTCAAGTTTGAGAGTAAAAGTAGCTAGTTTTTTTCTCTTTACTCATCCTCCTCATGCAATGTGATGTGACATCTAACTTATCATACGCCGCTTACATAACAGAACAATCTTCCATGTACAAGCAAATACCGGGGCTCTATTGCCATATCACGAGATTTTTACGGCATAAATGGAGTTCGTCGTGAGAAACAATGCCTCCTCTCATAATTTAGACCTCGTCCTTTTGATCTCGTGACTGAGAACAAATTAAGTGGGTGGTGCAACTGGAAATAAGGAAGGGAAACACCCAACTCGATTAAACTGACACTCAATTACCGGCAATTTAAACATTTTGTGTGAATAATCAACGGCAAACAAATTTAAAATCTTTCCTATATGGAGTTTCTTCTTAATTTACATAATCTCAAGGCAAATACAAAGGTTCATGTATTTTGACGAAGTTCATGACGTGAAAGCAGTCTCTCTTGCAATTAGGTGACCTACATGTCAATTACACTCAATTCTGAAGTCAATAATTTGGGTTCGCGGCTGCGAATAATTTAGTCCTTTTGTTATGGTATTAGAGTACAATAAACGTGTATTATCTGCATAAGCTATTATTATTATTATTATTATTATTATTATTATTATTATTATTATTATTATTAACAACATTATTTTGACGTATTTTATTTTTGCTGCCAATAACCAAGGTTCATAATACAAGTCATTTTCTAATGATAACTACTTTAATTAATACTTTATATTTTACATCTTTTGTTAGAAATCATTTTAGATGTGAAACATTATTAAACTACAGAATCTCCTGTAAAACGCCTATGTCGATTAATGAAACTTGCTTGAGCAGCTCGTAACATTTTCGACATCTTCATTAGATCGACTGATTGAGGTTTCGCCGCCCGAAAAAGTTTCGGGGAGGGGGGGAAGGAATTGTGACCCCCACAGTTATAACATTTTTTCACGCTCCTCTCACCTATGTCCTGACCCCTCACTAGGGCCACCCCCATTTATTTTCTTGAGGGGGAGTACAAATCTGCACGTTCAGTGCAGTTCTATTTGGCTTTTGCGCAAGAAGCGGGGGGGGGGGGTTGATGTTAGTGATAATTTTTGAAATAACGTAACTAGAAGTAATTTTTTAAATAACTTCTCGCTAGCCTTTAACTAACCCAATAATGACGTTTTGGCAGTTTTAATGTAATATAAAAATTACTTAATTTTAAGAAAATGTCGCGTTTACATTTGCCTTTTTAAATTTTATTCTTTTCCACTGTAATCACCACTGTTTCAACACAAACAAAAAACCTCTGAAACAAACTAATAGATGCAGTACGTCAATTACATGGATATCCGAAGGCAATGCAAGTAGCATTATCAATAGAAAGAGGAGAAACAACTTAAATACTTCACAATATGTTTTCTGTCACAAAGTATGGAACTTAATCATTCAAAATAGATTTGCAGCATTAAAATTATTTTATGTAATGGACCAATTCATTGTAACAGAAAATATAATACACAAAAATAAATGTTTGTTTCTTTGTTCGTATTTTATCCGATATTTTTAAAATAAATTTATAGTAAAATATAGTTGAAATCAATAATGCAGTTTAGGACCCCCGCATCCCCCCATCCCAGAAATTGATACGTTTTACGTTTAATTTATATCTAAAAAAATATTGAATTTGCTATACTACCAAGTGTAGTTTAAAATACTTCTAACCTTCATGGTTTCCATTCCTGGGATTTGTTCAGATTTTGGGGTTTTGTGTGGAAGTGAATATTGAACATTTAAATTCATTACCATTCTAAATGTATATTAATAAATTTATTGAAAATTTACACAATTTCGCAATTTCAATTAACATTTCAACAAACTAAATTAAATTGCATTCTCCATAGTCCCAAAACAAATTTTACTTAAAAGTAGGTGTCAGGAACATTGTTATACCTTTAGGGAGATAGTATTTGGGAATTCTTTGCGAAAATCAGGAAGAAAGGTTTCCATACGGCCGGTGACTCCAAGTACTACCAGATGTTCATACAAAATTACATCGTAATATCTTTATTAAACCATTTTACAATGCTCTTACACAACGTTCGTACAATTCAAACAAAATTAATTACAGATCAGAAAATAATGAAATTTACCACAAAAATCGGAACATACATTTTTTTTACATTTTGAAACTTCTCTCAAACAATTTTAAAAACCAAACTGGTGCACCAAGTACATAAATATTAGTTTAGAGTAGTGGCAGATTTCTTAACGCTTCTACTTTTTCCCCCAGTTACTTTACGTTCATACGTTTTGAAGGTTAAGATTTAGCGTGACTTTCTTAAAATAATAAATATTCTGAACGAAATCCATTTACTCAAAACTACCGCATTAAAATTAACAAGAGTTTGTTATTTCGAAACCGGCAACGAACTCTATACAATGTTAAAATTCATTCTTAATGCTAATTCTACATTTTCAGCTGCGTTCCTTTCGTACATCTTCGCCGCATGATTCAAAGTGCTCCTGCAGACTTCCTGAAACAAAAAACAAAAAGTCAAAGACCTGCATTCTACAACAGAGCCGGTCATTGAATTTCACAAGATAACTAAACATCTTAATATTTGAAACTGAATTAGGTTAAAATTTTGAATCGCTATTACCTACTCATTAATAAGTTTTTATTCAATCAATAATGGCGAAACACTACAAACGTTTGTCTCCGATATATCCAATCTTTAATTAGGCGAAATAAAAAGTGACTCCATTTAATTTCTACTTATTTCTTGAAATCCAATTCAATGTATTTGAATCCATCATAACTTATAATTACGGGTGTGTTACATTGAAAAGTATAATACTTTTGAACCTTAAGTTAAAGAATATTTATTGACGTTTGCTGGTAAGTCCATTTTGGAAACTTATCCCTCTACGAAGCACTACCAGACCATTACGATTAAATTCATTTATATTGATTCGAACTTCTAGGGCATACGGCAGTGCAAATTTACTTTTTTGAGTGAACCTGTAGGTAGAGCCTTCACCCAACATATTTTAGCTTTAGATCGAAAGCGACGTTCACCTGAAAATTGTAATTAAATGTGCGTTATTATTTCGTACTATTTTCACATACGTTGCAAGAGTAACAGCATTCGAAAATCGAGGCCAGGAACTAGGAACAACGTTCATACGTTTTAATAGCCATTTATGGCATAACTGTTACAAAGTATTGTTTAATAAGATTAATGGGCGCTTCAATAATTAAGACCATAGGCGACCTTGTCTTTTTTTTTTTGAAGTCTTCTAAGTCCAATAAAATGCTATTTTCCAAATTGGAAGTAAAGGATGCTTGCTTCGTCATTTTTGACCGCGCCGAAGCCCCGAACAATGTGTTTACGACCCTTTCGTTTACGTGCTCTCAATTTCGTACAACCATAAGATAATCTTTAATTTCTTACTTCAGTAGGATTTTCAATTTTGACTTATTAACACGAGTTTCTAATTTTGATTATTAGTATTGCAGTAGTGATCTCACCGAGTCTTCTGATCCGTTTTGCTTGAACAAGAAGAGATTTGAACTTTAAACAGACCACAGGAATGTTTTCAACAGGTCAGTTCGTTTGTCGCCTTGAGGTCGTGCTGCGGTCCGTTTCTAGGTCAGTCTCCGTCCCACGATGCACTGCAGCTCCTCGAGGCTGCTATAGCTTTCGACAAAAAACCTCTCCCGAGGCCCTGTGAGTTAGTGCAGCCATTCTGGCTGTACCTCTCTTTTGAACCTGGAAACGAAGCGATTTGTAGATCACATTGCAGAGAAACCATCATGAAACTGCGCAATACCATGTAGTCTTTTAGTAATTTAACAAACTATAGCATCCTCCCCTGCAGTGGGTTAGTTCTAAATATTACCTTCGTATTTAGATACTATTTTTTTCGTGTTATGCATTTACATTTTTTCATATTGAGTTTTAATGAAAAGTCAAGATTCGCAATATACAGTAAACGTCCACGTCTTTATCGTGTTACTACTTTAACATGCATTACGTCATATTTCGTTACTATGACTACACAACGTACCACCACCACCACCACCACCACCACCACCAATTGAAAATTAGTTCAAATTTAGTTTAATTACAGTTTTCCTACATTCCATGCTACAAAACCATTTTAACTCTGCACTTTTACGCATGCTCGATTTCCTGACATGCAGTGTGGTGGAGATTTGAAGTTGACTTCCTGAAAATAAGAGTTAATATTCCTGAAAAAAAAAAGAAGCTTATTAGTATTTAAGAGTCAGTATGATGTTTCACGAGCCCGGCGTTCCAGAAAATATCCCTGGAAAAAACATTTTCTAATGTTTTGTTTAATTGTGAGAGTTTTCTTTAGCGTTTTTGAAGGCACGCATTATTGTGTAGGGAATGCTTTCATTATTTGCTTCTTAAAACTGTAGCTGCGATTTTCGTATTCCCCTAAGTTTTACTACACGAATTCAATTAATCTTCAAAAGCGGTGAATTTTCATGGTTAAGTCTAACATTAAACCAAATTAGTAAAACAGATTTTTAAGTAAGCAACTGATTAATGTGCTTTGTGGTTTCAGCAAGGCCAATTGTCCATAATCTTATTGGTCGGCAGGTATAGAATGTGTCCATTGTGTTTAAAAGATTAACTTCGTTTGCTTACTTTCTTTCATGGTTCTCCTGCTGAATTGAGTCGTGCTAACGTCGTGAAACATGGTCAGTTTCTTTCGCGTGTACCTCATCACAGCTGTGTATGAACTGTAGTAGACATTTGTGGTGTGTCCCGATCATTTGTAGAGATAATCAGCACCCGTGATTTATCTTTGTGCGTTTCTTGATATTATTGAATGATAAGGCCTGTGGAAAATTATAGTGCAAGAACTAGGTACTTTGAAAGTGAAGTAGTATTGTTACACCTATGTCAGGAAAATAGAGAATCTCTTAAATATTACACAAAAAATATTTTACTTCAGTGTTTGCAAAAATCATTAATATTTTTGTTTACTGTCGTATTAAGTAAAATGAAAATTATTTTTATCGCAAGATTAATAGCCAACCCACATTCCCATTTTCCGGAACATTCGTAAATTCTACCATAAGTATCAACTTTTATGCATCGCAAAATTTTTATGTACCTCGTATTCATGCGCTGTGTCTCCAATGCTAAGTAATTCATTTCTATTAAATTTTAATTAGAGTCTAGAAAGAAATTTAACATTATCACATCCAAAGTTAAGGTTTTGAATGACCGTAAGGCGAAAGTCATTTCAAAACATTCCGGAAAACAATGTTTTGATAATTTTTGAAAAGAACTGACAAAATTGCGTAAGCAACTTATCAAGAAATATTTCATCTTTTCAAAAAGCTATTAAACACATTTTAGGAAATTCATCATTGTAATTACTTCCTTGACTAATGAAGCTTCCCGCGTCACTAGTACATGAAGACAAACCTTCAGAGCTGAAGAACAACGTTTTGAACCTTAAGTCTGTCTTATTTTATTTCGTAAGAAAGGATGTGGACATCATTATTACTTACGTCGAAAAATACCGTTTATGGTAAATTATTTCTGCAAAACCCAATCTATTAAACCAAAAAACTTTACAAAATACATACAAATTTCCCCGTTTGTAATTTTTCATTGGAAATATTAATATGAAATTTATATTTAAGCCTTCGAAGCACTTTCCCTGAATTTACGAAAATATATTTGATAATAACTTCTATATTTTTGGTTGAAAGAAATACTGACATGTTTAAATGAATAAACAATTTTACTTCGATTTGAAGTACGAAAAAATATTTCCAAGAGTCAGAATAGATTTTAACCATTCTCTCAGGAGGTAATTATATCCATAAAGATTACCGACTTTTAGGACGCTATCTGGGTCACGCAAAATCCTTCGATAAAAGACGCAACAAGGAACGCTGAAGGAACATTTAATCAGAATATGAGGAAGGTAGTTTCTAATGATTGTTAAAAACATATCACAGTTGTGCAATTCTATAGTTCAATTTCTTGACAATCTAGAAAAATATTTTATTATCCCTGGTAGAGAAGTATCAAATTTAATTCGACATCACGGAACATGGGATGGGATCTAATAGAATAAAACGTTCCTATTGTATAATCCGGAAAACAACGTAACAGCAACGAAAAACAATCTTTTGAAAATGTGATAAACTTGAGAAAAAAAGATCTCCAATTGCAGTTGATAGTTGCTTGTAGTTCGTTTCATATGAAAATTGAAATTCAGAGATGGTAGAGAAATAGCCGTCCTTTGTCCAATGAATTGCAATTTTAAATTCTCAAAAAGACGCTGATATCAACAGACAACAGGATAGGAACTTGTGATGAATCTAACAGAAGCTCTCCTTATGACATAGCACGGTACAATGCATTAAGACTAGACAATTTAGTCTACCACAGTAAAGTGGAAAATAAGTGGAAATGCGGATAAGCGGAAATAAGGGGTCGAAGAGTGAATACGGCCACTAGAGCCCAAAAGAGATCATTGTAATCAAGGTGAACAAGGTAAATTTAGTAGTTCAGGAAAAAAATAGAGTACAAAATATACCCAGAAGACATTTCCATATATTTATTTCCAGTGAATGAACGGGAGAGCCAAAATTAATTTGAAATTAAACTGACAGAAGGGGTAGAAGAACTAGACCCCATTTTGATATGAAGACTCCAATATTTGAAGTAACGGGTGAGAAAGGATTTCAAGAATGTCAATGGGAGGGGCGAGATATTAGGTGATCGTTGAGGAGATCGAGAAAGCGAAGGTGGACCAGTCAGAACTTACGATATTTGTTCTGTATGTCATGGACAGCGACTACTCAGGACCTGCAACAAAAAGAAAATATTACGTACCTTTTTTTCACTCTTTCTATAAATAAATCTATCATTTAGGATTTAATGTTCTTTTATACAATTTCAATTTACTTTTTGCAAATTATGTTTACTTTAATTTCCATGTGAATAATGCATGTACTTTCAAAGGCAGGTTTTAGTTGACAATACAAATTATGCAAGTTTTCTCTAGTTTCAAAACCCATACCACACCTTTTCACCTGAACATAATTAACTTATTAATGAAAGTACCAATAAAAGATGCTTAGCAACATTTGAAAACTAGAAATTTTTGTTCCTGAATAAAAAAAATCTGCTGACTAGAGATTTTCGAATAATCGAAAATCGATGTGAGATTTAAAACAAGTAAATAGTGGCTTACACACGTCACCATACAAACAGCTGTCTTTACACATTTTATTTTTCACATTTCACGCAGATGAAATATGAGATAGCTCACTTCTTTCCAATCTGTCTCATCTTAATACAGATTCATATTTGGTAAGTCCACTTTTTTTACTAGTTTTGTAAGATAGGTTACGTCTGTCGATCTCATTGTAGAGTACCTGAAACAAAAGTTTTTGGCACAGACATCTGTTCTTCACAAAATCAATACATACTTCTACAGAGTTCAAACCTAACTAAATCTTGTATTGATTAAT